ACCTCCTGATAGCAAGTCAGTTCCGGGGTCATTGTGGTCCCGGGCAAATGTCATTCTTTTCCCTTGTTACCCCCTACCCCTGGGCTTCAGCTGTTCTGAGCTCCCATTTGCCTCCTCCAAGGAGCCCAAGTTACATCCAGTTCCTACCCTCTCAAGAGATGTGATATTCCATCTTTACTGGGCTCCAGGTGCCTCATCTGCAAATAGAGACCTCTTAGGAATTCGAGATTTCCCCAGTTATTATCTGGACATAGGTTTGTTACAGGGCCTGAGCGTAGGTGGGGGTGATATCGGCAGATACTGTTCTTATAGTATTCTTCACATGGATTCCTCCAAGCTGCATAACCCTAACTCTAACTCTTCCCCCTCTTCTCTCTCCTTCGCCCACAGGCATGCATCTCTTAAACTCTAAGGGACCCCACAAGTCTTGCAAACAGGGGAGTAATGGGCAGTGGCAGCTCTTCCCAGGCTAAGCCCTGAACCTGTTCCCAAGCCCCCGCCCCCTTCTTTTACTTACCAGAGAGATAAGGCAGCTCAGCCTAGGCTCTCCTGTTGCTTCTTATGTGCTAATCCCTTTCTTGTTTTACTGTCCCCAGTTTTAATAAACGTTCCCTCATAATCACCTGGACTTGTGAATTTTTCCTGCACGAAGTCAAGAACCCACACACTACTGGCTGCCTCCTGCATGCCCCACACAGGTGATGAAGCCCGAAACACAGGCATGTGCCCTGACCTGGAATCGAACTCTGACCTCCTGGTTCATAGGTCAACGCTCAACCACTGAGCAACACCGTTCTGGCACATAGGGCCTTTTATTTTGTGTCAGACATGTAAGGGAGCGGCTTTGCCTTGGTGCCCTGGTGACCGGTGTCCTCACTCAGGTTGTGTAGGCAAAGCTAGACTGTAGGCTGATCAGAATATTGGCAGATCACTTTGTGATTCCCCTTGGAGCAAAGGGAGAGAAGCAGCCTTTTGAGAAGCTGCCACTAAGCAGTTTCTCACTCGCTTCCCACCTATCTTGAGGCTGACTCAAGGCAGTTTTTCATCCATCTCCAGTTTCAGTTGAGTACAAGATGTCCCTCCTGCCCCACCTGAGAATACAGCTGTAGACTATAAAATTGCTCCCTGCCTTAGGGTACAACTGTGGGCTCTCACTGGCAGAGTTACCACCACCACCACCTGTGGTGTCTGTCACTGAGCACATCTGATTCACTGTCAAACGTGAACAGGGGGACAAAGGGAACTGACACCAAGCTGATCTTGCTTCTGGTGTTTCTGTAATTAATAAACTGTTTGAATCCACTTGGGTTCACTGTATCCTTACAATCTATGGAATGGTAAGCTGACAATTTCAGTAGGAAACCTGGTGGCCATGTCAGTCTGGTGCAGTGCTACTTGAGCACAGCCTGACTAATTGATACACAGACTGTGGTGTTGAGTTGTATGGTGTTGCATGATCAGAATGTTGCCTTATTTTCTTTGGCATAAAACACAGTATTGAGCAAAGTTTAAGCACATACCATGACTCAGTGTAGCCTTGTCAGACCCCAGTTATTTATACACCAACTGTAGAATCAATGCCATGTCCGACACCAGCTATACTGCTATTGAATCAATATATTTCTTTAAGTAAAATACATTTCTAAACTCAAATTCATTTAGAAAGGTAGCCATATATCCCTATTAGAAACTCAAACCAGTATTTCTTGCTAGAGATGTAATTATAAAGGTAAATAAAAAATATTTGAAAGTTGGAATATAAGCCAAATATTTTACAGTATAATTCCTACTTCATGCTATCATTTTCTTCATAGTGACAATTTACTTACACATTGTAATTTCTCTTTTGAAATAAAGAACAGACCTAAAGTATGTAATTACTTTCCCACCATTGCGCAGTTAGGATGAGTCAGAGCCAGGACGGAAACCCCTGGCTACTTCATGCCATAGCCTATAACAGTGATGGCGAACCTATGACACGCGTGTCAGAGGTGACACACGAACTCATTTTTTTGGTTGATTTTTCTTTGTTAAATGGCATTTAAATATATAAAATAAATATCAAAAATGTAAGTCTTTGTTTTACTATGGTTGCAAATATCAAAAGATTTCTATATGTGACACGGCACCAGAGTTAAGTTAGGGTTTTTCAAAATGCTGACACGCTGAGCTCAAAAGGTTCGCCATCACTGGCCTATAAGGTGACAGAGTAGGTGGGACCAGAGTAATTTTGCCTCAGCAAGTACCTCTGGTTCTGTTCCCTTTTATTCTACCCAGGCCCTAATGATTTCATCCAGTGTCTGATGGAGCCCAATATATATTAAAGATTAAAATTCTTACCAGACTAGGACTGGATGAACTTCACAGTTCCATTTTCCTATCAGGAATAAGACAACTTCAGTACACTAATCCTGATTCTATTAACATTGTATTGGGTGGGTCTGTCCGTTGTTGTAAAATGAGAAAAGGAAAAACAGGCATAATTTTTAAAACAGCAGAAATAAATTTGTCAGCATTCAAAAGTGATTGGATTGTGCATAATGAAACTTAAAAACTATCTAGAAATAACCTTTGGGAAATAATAGGCATGTGTAGCAAGGTTGCTGGAGAGAATACCAATGTATAAATATGTCTGCATATGAAAGCTCAATTGGAGTATAAAACGTCAGAAAATGATATAATTTTCAATAGTATCAACTACTTGGGAATACGCTTCACAAAAGATTTGCAAGATTCCTTGGATAATGCTGTAAAACTTTATTGAGAGAACTTTAACAGTGAAGTATCCAACATAAGAATAATCTGTGTGTCTTCAGATCATCTTCCTTTAAATGGCTGGTTTTCCTTCCCCTGCAAGAGAAACATAACTGTTGGGAACATGCCTTAGTCTCATTAGATTTAGATGACATTAAAGGTACACAAAGGGCAAAGTTTAGGTTTTATAAGATATAGACTTCCAAGCATCTATTTTACCAATATTGATTAAACACACCACTCTTTCTAATGGTACTCAGAAACTAAAAGACTGTTCCAGCTCAGAGTACAGGAAATGAAATGAACCTATTAAAAGGTGGTTTTAAATAGTAAGCCAAAAATGTGTAAACTTTTTTGAAAAATCTGAACACCATCCAACAGAAAACCCTTAAGAAAGAAAAGAAATTTACAAGAAATGCTTTGATTTGAAATACTATTCTGAATATAAGATAGCTAAAACAGAATTGTCACATTTGTGAAGTAAACAGAAAGGCCCGTACTGCCTTTGTTTCTTCCTTATGGTGCAGCAAAGCAAAAATGTTTCTTGGGCTCCTTTAGCCCTTATGTCATCCATTGTTTAAATAGGGTAACCATGTGTCCCAATTCCATTTGTAGTGTAATTATAGATAATGCCTTATGAATTTTGATTTGTATAATAACTTATACAGTCACTGTAGTTTTAACTCATTATCATCATTTAAAAAAATATATTTTATTGATTTTTTTACAGGAAAGGGAGAAGGGATAGAGACTTAGAAACATCGATGAGAGAGAAACATTGATCAGCTGCCTCCTGCAAACCTCCCACTGGGGATGTGCCCGCAACCAAGGTACATGCCCTTTACCGGAGTCGAACCTGGGACCTTTCAGTCCGCAGGCTGACGCTCTATCCACGGAGCCAAACCGGCCAGGGCTCATTATCATCATTTTTGACACCAAAACATGAAGCTCATATATAGGATGCCTTATAGTAAGGCAAAAAAACCCCCAAAACACACCTGATAAAAAAGAAGAATGAATGGAGGGAGGGGGAAGGAAAAGAGAAAAGGAAGAATAAGAGAAAGAGAAAGATATCTAATCCAAAACAACTTTTGTTTCTCAAAGTGTGTGCTTTAAAAAAAACTTTACTGAGGAATAATTACCAAACATTATTGTATATACTGAAAGAATAAAACATGGTATATTTGCTATATGTATATATTGTGGCACGATTACCAAGGTAAATGTATGTCATTAACCCATCCCTCACCTCGAGTAGCTAACATTTATTTTTCTGGTAAGAATTCTCAGGATCTACTCTCAGGAACTTGGGATTCTTTCTCCACCCCCCCTCCAGATTATGCAAAATAATGGATACTCTTCACACGTTTTCTTTCAGTGTCCTGAGGTCCAATACCTAATTTCTTCACAAGTGTTTTTAAAATGAGCAGTCTTTCTCATTTATTAATTGAATTATATTTCTTTTTCCTACAGATTTTTACTTTTATTATGTATCTCATATTTTATCTCTTAGGTTTATTTTGTTGTACTTTTTTCTTAATTTTTATATTGGATGGTCATGCAATTTATTATCTATTTAGTAACATATACATTAAAAGGCTATGATCTGCCCTGGCCAGGTAGCTCAGTTCGTTAGAGCGTTGTCCCAATACATCAAGGTTGTGGGTTCGATCCCTGGTCAGTGCTCATACAAAAATCAATGAATACATAAAGAAGTGGAACACAAATCGTTGTTTGTCTCCTTTCCCCCTCCCTAAAATCAGTGAATAAAAAATTTAAAAAGGCTATCACCTTCCTATGAATATATTTTAACCATGTTTAACAGGCTCCTGGAGTAGCCTGAGAACTATCCCTAATGTAAATAGTCTAATGAAATGTTTAAGTAATGTAAAGTAAAAACGTTTAGAAGACTAATACAAGATAATGTCTTCCTAAACTTAAAGTACTCCCTTTAAATTCAGAACCCCTTGTAATTAGTGGTCAGCAATTTGTAAAACACATAAATTACATTCTTCTTAAAATATATTTTTATTGATTTCAGAGAGGAAGAGAGAGACGGAAACATCAATGATGAGAGAGAATCACTGATAGGCTCCCTTCTGCACGCCCACACTAGGGATCGAGCCAGCAACCTGGGCATGTGCCCAGACTGGGAATCGAACCGTGACCTTCTGGTTCATTGGTTAACACTCAACCACTGAGCCATGCCAGCCAGGGATAAATTATATTCCTAATTCATAACTTACCTGCTTCTGGCATGTAAACGGGCTCTGGTTTTGGTGAAATCTCCCACTTGAACGGAGTATCATCTGTATCTTCAACCCAAATCTCTGGCTGAGGCAGGTCTGGGGGACAAATTTCTGGGTCAGGCCCTTAAAAAAGAAGTTATCATTTTCAGCAGCAATCATATTCTGGATCAGCAGTTCTCAACCTGTGGGTCGCCAACCTGTGGGTCGTGAACCCTTTGGGGGTTGAACGACCCTTTCACAGGGGTCGCCTAAGACCATCGGAAAACACATATATAATTACATATTGTTTTTGTGATTAATCACTATGCTTTAATTATGTTCAATGTCTAATAATGAAAATACATCCTGCATATCAGATATTTACATTACAATTCATAACAGTAGCAAAATTACAGTTATGAAGTAACAACGAAAATAATTTTATGGTTGGGGGTCACCACAACATGAGGAACTGTATTAAAGGGTCACGGCATTAGGAAGGTTGAGAACCACTGCTCTAGATGATTACTCAGCAATTATTAAGGCTATAGTCTTTGAACTTCTAATCTTATCAACAGATGTTTCAATGAAGAAACGTATAACATGCCACATTTGATATTGTTAGAGGTGATTATATCATATTGTCCACATTTTTATTAGGGACAATAACTCATTAAGACTGACAGTGGTGACAGGGAGCATGCTTAGCATAGATACTCTATTTATACCTGCCTTCACATCAGTGATTGCCTGCACATGCTCTGCTTGAACCAATAAAAAAAACTGAAACTAGATGATCTCTTGCCATTGCATGATTTAGACATCTGAGGCTTCAATGAGGAAAGGATTTAAAATGTAACTGTTTTCTAAGAGCCAGAAAGAATTCAGAATTTGAAAAAAATCTGACAACAGATAAATAAGTTATGAAAACAGAATATGTGTTTTCATTGTATTCTATGCAACAAAACCAGAGAATGCAAAAAGCAGCCTTGAAAAAAAATTTTAGTATCTCTGATTTCGATTCACTATTCATATGAGTAAGGATGGATTTGGAAGGTAAGGGATTCTCTAAGAATCACACAAGTTATATTAAAGGTGGTACTAGAATCTATCACAGTACCTAGAATATTTATGTAACCTCCTATTTATTACAAATGCATTATGTATTTGTTAAATCAGAAAATATGAAAGGATTTCAAAGCTATTAGCGTAAAGTACTTATATTCAAAAGAAAATGTTTTCAAACTTGTAATTTAAAATGGCTTTGGTCTTATTTGTTTCTATGGCTGATAGTCTATTAAGTCTGTTAATCAGGCTTTTGAAATCTGAACTACTTTCCAAAATTCTTTAGATGTGAGCCCTGTTATTAAAGTAACAGTGTGTTACCTCCATATTATTAGAGATATCATTGTGGGAAACGAAAAACACATTTAATTGCATTCTTAGTGTATAGCATACCTCTTTCTGGCATGTTAATGGGTTCCGGTTTGCCTAAAATCTTATACTTGACATAAGTGTCCTCATCCCCGGTCTTTGGCTGATCCTGTTCCTGGAGAACAGCTTCCGGGTCAGGGCCTTAAAAAAGTTATAATTTGCACAATAAACATAAGTTGATTACTAAAGAATGATTGATGTTGTAGCCCTTGAACTTCCAATTTTATCAATTGATTTTTCAGGGCAGAAGCTTACAATATGCCACATTTGATATGATTTTAGAGGTATTTATATAGCAGGGACCACATTTTTATTAAGGAGAGCTACTCAGTAAGGGTGACAGGGAGTGTGATTAGCATAGGTATCTTACTCAGACCTCCTTGATATTAGTGATTTCCTGCATTCTCTCTACTTGATCAGACATAGAAACTAGACTATTGCTTGCTATTGCATGATTTAGTCATTTGAGGCTTCATTGGGAAAAATATTTAAAATGCAATTGTTTTCTAAAAGCCAAAATAATTCAGAATTTGACAGAATCTAAGAACAGTTTTCCAGGTCTCCATATAGTAAATGGAACATTAAGTGGATTGTTTACTCATTATCTTAGTAGCAATAAAAATCTCAATTCAGATGTAACCATGTGACTAAAGAAGATTATTTTATGACAAGTAAGGAAAAACACAGTATCTTGGTATTCTTTTTTAAAAAAAATATATTTTATAGATTTTTTACAGAGAGGAAGGGAGAGGGATAGGGAGTTAGAAACATCGATGAGAGAGAAACATTGATCAGCTGCCTCCTGCACACTCCCCACTGGGGATGTGCCCGCAACCAAGGTACATGCCCTTGACTGGAATCGAACCCGGGACTCTTGAGTCCACAGGCCGACGCTCTATCCACTGAGCCAAACCGGCCAGGGCTCTTGGTATTCTTTTTATTGCATCCAAAAGAACCATATCATGCAAATATCAGCATTGAACATGATTTTAGTATATGATTTGATTCACTATTAATATGAGTAAGATTAGCTTGGAAGTTGAGAGATTCCCCCAGATTCACACAAATTACATTACAGCTGGTATTAGAACCTACTTCAGTGCCTCAGCATATTTCATACAAACTGGTATTTATTACAAATGTTTTATGTATTTGTTAAAGGTAGGAATTATAAAAGTATCTGAAAATTATTTGCTGTTGGTTCAAGTACATATACCCCAAAGTATGAAAATGTTTTCATATTTTATAATTCAATATACTTTGATCCAATGTTTCTTTCCTTTTAAAAATATATTTTTATTAATTTCAGAGAGAAAGGGAGAGGGAGAGAGATAGAAACATAAATGATGAGATAATCATTGATAATCATTGATTGGTTGCCTCCTGCATACCCCCTACTGGGGATCGAGCCCACAACCAAGGCATGTGCCCTTGACTGGAATCGAACCTGGGACCCTTCAGTCTGCAGGCCAATGCTCTATCCACTGAGCCAAACCAGCGAGGGCCAATGTGTTTCTTTATTTGATTATAAGTCAGGCACTCAGGCATTTGGGGTCTGAACTACTATTCAAAAACCTTTATGTGTGAACTCTATTAAAGTCACACTATGGTACCTTTGTAGTACCAAACACACAACTGTGGAGAAGAAAAACCACAAAAATTACATTTGTAATGGATGACATACCTGCTTCTAGCATTTTAGAGCACTCTAATTTTGGTAAATCCTTCTCACGTACATCAGGACCAACTTTGCTCTTGCCCTCTGTCTCTGGATGAGCCAGTTCTTGCAACTCAGCCTCCATGTCAGGACCTTAGGAAAAGTTCTCAATTTGAGCAGTAAACATGGAACATAAATAAGGAAATGATAACCTTTTTTCCTTCAGTTAATGAAATATAAAAGCTTGTATTCTAGTATGATTATGTGGGTGATGGAAAGTTGGAGTTCATCTTTTTTGTTTTCCTGTAGTGAATGACAATCTGAAGGTAAACCAGTGACATCTACATTTCCAACATATTATCATAGTGTGCTAAGAGTAGTGAGCATGAGTTCTATCTAAGAAATCTGAGGTGTATACCATGGATAGTATTGTAATTACAATTAAAATGCAATTTACTGAAGGATTAACTGAGGGCATTTGTGGTCTATGACAAATCTTATAGTAGTGACATCAATCCCTTATCGGAATAATCAGAAACTTATTATGTTAAAATAACTAGTTACATTTAGGTGCAAAGGCTGTAGGTGTAACCTTCCATAAATGAGTTCTATCTCTGAAGGATGAACTGCTAAAATAATCTGTGGTCTGAACCATATAAATAATTCACTACAAGTGTTTGATAAAAATACTATATAGTGTGAAGAAATAATTGCTGTTTCATAATAATTTGAAGATACTTTTGATTTTCCTAATCTTAAAATTATTAAACTCCCTTTTAAGTCATTAAAAAAACACACTTCCATAATTACCAATATGCCAGTCTTCTGAATTACTTAGTTTTTACCAAATATGCCATAGGAAAACATCACTTAAAGGAGAGAGTGGCCATCTTCCACTGAGCTCCTTTCTGAGGCTCTAACCTGCCCCACTGAACTGCATCTATTCCTGGGCCAGTACTGAGCTACCTTACAGTTCAGACACACTTGAGTATTTAGCATTTTATACAATACCATCCACTATTTCAGACACCAACATAGGTGGTAGGAAGAACACAAACCTTGGAATGAAGTGTGAACTATTTCTCAGTGAGTCAAGTGCTCAGGCTCAGTTTTCTCACTTATAAAATGGGGCTACCATCCCTGAACAAATAGGCTTGGTTTCAGGTGTTCTATGATGGGCTGACAAACTATAAAATCTTCACATTCTCTCCCAATTTCCAGGATATGTTTGCATAGAGCTATGGTATGCACAATACATGATAGACAGACAGACTCCCAGCTCCCCACAGTCTTCTTCCCTTTCCCTTCACCTTGAACCTCAGGAGCTCCTGCATCTGCTTTCTCTTCATCAGGTGTAATATCCTGACTCTCAGTGGGTGGCTCCTCTTGTTGAGGTTGTTCATCCCGGGGCTGCTGGTCCTGTGGGGGGGGTGTGTGTGTGTGTGCGTGTGTGTGTGTGTGTGAGAAAATGAAAAGTTTTGTTGTTAATACATGACAATCATAAAAAAATATACACACATACATATAATCATGAATAAGAATAAAGGCACTTTATAGACATGATATATATATTCTTAATATTGTTTCTCTTCCCTCTGCCTGGTTCCTTGGAGAGGAGCTGCCCACAAGGACGTCTGAAGCTCTTTTAAACTCTCCGGGGATGGATGTGGGCAGTCCGTGTTAATAAGCACGAGAAAGGAGTCATAGGGGATATTTCCACTGGCAATACCAGAGTGGAAACCTCCTGGATCAAGGTTTCCTTCCTAAGGACTCCTCCTGGGCCCGTGTTACTCCCTTATCAGCACGGAAACTTTTAACACTGTACCTAGAGGCATTCAACAAAACTCACAGAAAAATACATTTCTGGTCATAGACAGTTCAAATATCAAAGCACTCACAACCACGGCTCCAACTGGCTGGTCAGACTCTTCATCCTCTAGTATTGAACTCCAGTCGAGCCTTGGTGTTATATGTCGACTCATATTTCACACTGAAAGCAGAACATTTTGATTAGGAAAATGTACTTAAGGAAATAACTATATCACTTCCATGGCAAAATGATGATTTTCTTTTTAACTTTAAAGTACTTTAAAAATAAGTGCACAGGCTTTGCGGTTATACCAAATACCGGGGCTTGCCAAGCCACTATGTCATGGCCGTGCTGGCAGCGTTATCACCTCGGGCAGGTGAGAAAGACGACACCCGGCTTCCCGTGTACGGAGACATGTGGGAAAATGCTGCCTGAAAGCCCGCTGGAGTGACGACTGCTTCTGCCACACGCCAGCGAGGAGGCCGCTTTCCCCCTGAGTTCGGCTGCATCGGCCGGGAAGGCTCGGGCTGTGCGTGCGGCCTGTGCTGCCCCGGCATGACCAGGAGGCAGCGGTGACCACATGCGATACCGGGGGCTGTGCCCGCTTCTCCCGCGGCCCCTGCTTGGT